GGTCACGGGTTGGAGAGGGTGCAGGGTGGGCTGAGAGTCACCTCCCCTCCCCCGCCATGCTCGAATTTCATGCACCGGGCCTCTAGTTTATAAATACAAGAGGGGACGTCATTATATGCATCTTTTTTTAAAGTTTACGGAGGTGAGGCTGGCTAACACCTCGACATGGGTCTCCAGCAAGTCATCCTGCGATACCGTGTGTATCGGGTTCGCATGGCATTGGCAAACTGTCTGTCATGTCTCTGTTCTGCTTAGAAAATCACTCCCATGCGTCCCATTTTGTTTATTTATCTGTAAATAAATTGCACGTGCATAGGGCACACGTCACAGGCATCGGAAGAGCTGAGAGGCAGGTGGCCTGGGGTGGGGAACATTGGCCCAGGGGCCGTGTGAGCCCCAGGAGATCATGTGGCCTGGCCCTGCCGAGGCAATGGGGGGAGTTAACTCAACGTCGGACCCCGTGGAGCAGGCCCATGTTTAAGTGGACGGTTCTTTATGGCCGTCAAGGATGTTATAAATACCGGCAGGAACCGGGCACCCACCCCTCCGATGCCAGGACCCTACGACGGGCGCTTTGCCAGCTTCTGACGCTCAGGGCGACATCCCCAGCCCCCGAGTGGCAGAGTTTTGTTGTTTACTCTGGCCTGGCCTGTCAGAGCATCGCTGGACCTGACAACCACATCTGTCTTCCCTAATTGTCGGTGTTCGTAACCATAGTTACCAAGCAAGGATGTTCCTGAAAAGAGGAAGCCGGGAAGACGCATGGGATGTTGAAGGACAGCCAAACGGAGGAGGTGATTAGGGAATGGGCGCCAACAGGGACCTGGGAACGGGGCGAGCCGCCAATCACAGTGGCACCGGGATCTGGGTCAGATGTCCCGCACGGCAGTTCCACCGCACCCCGAAAGGCTGTCCCCTAAAACGGCGAGGAGCCTGCTCCGAGCGCCTGCGAGCCATGCGGGGCCACAAGGACAGGGGACAGCGCGGCCTGGCCAGCCGTGCACACGCACAGGCGAACACGGGCCAAATACACACGGTTGACGTGTGTGCAGCCGCAAACAAACAAAAGCTTCCGTTTCCACAGAAACGTGGGTTTATTCCGACGGAGACGTGCTGAAGGCAAAGGGCTGAGATAAACGAGTCGTCGTTCACAGAAAATAATAGAACATTTTTTTTATTTTTTTTTAAATATATATTTTATTGATTTTTTTACAGAGAGGAAGGGAGAGGGATAGAGAGTTAGAAACATCGATGAGCGAGAAACATCCATCAGCTGCCTCCTGCACACCCCCTACTGGGGATGTGACCGCAACCAAGGTACATGCCTGGACCGGAATCGAACCCGGGACCCTTGAGTCCGCAGGCCGACGCTCTATCCACTGAGCCACATCGGTCAGGGCGAAAATAATAGAACATTGTAATGTTTTTTTCTTGAGCATGAACTTACCAGACACTGAGTAACGGCATCAATGAATAAAAGTCACGCAGATAAACCTGTTTTTCTCATTCTCCGAAAGCGAGAGATTTCCCGTTGGGCACACCAAGCAGGTCAGTCCGGGATGAAGGACGCGGCCATCGGCTGCTAGAACATTCGCCGCTGGTATCAGTGGGGAGAGATGGCGCGCCTACACGTGAGGGAAATGAACGCAACACGATGACAGTCATCCGTCATTAGCGAACATTGTGGTTTGTGATGAATAATTATGTACAACATGGTAGTGAAAAAATTAAGTGATGAAACTTTTATTAAAACGTTTCTTTCATACCGTCCTATTGGCTGGGCTGCAGAAATATTCGTTGTGGGCGCGGGCCGCGAGTTTGACACGCTCGTAGTACACAGGCCACGCGCCTGGTGACAGGGTCTCATTTCCCCACCGGCTTCTGCAGACCCGTCACCCCTCCTACCCCGTCCTCCAGGGATGCACCATCCAGCCACACGGTCACAGGCGCAGGCTGTCGGCACCGAATACTTTTACAACATCCAGTGCGTTCAGATTTGTTTCTGGCCCGGCCAGGGCGGCTCAGTGGTTGAGCGTCGACCTAGGAACCAGGAGGTCAGGATTCGATTCCCAGTCAAGGGCACATGCCCGGGTTGTGGGCTCGATCCCCAGTAGGGGGCGTGCAGGAGGCAGCCGGTCCATGATTCTCTCTCATCATGGATGTTTCTCTCTCTCTCTCTCTCTCCCTCTTGAAATCAACAAAAATATATTTTAAAAAAGAAAAGATGTGGTTTTTGCTTGGGAAGGCATCCGTAAAGAATTCATTAAACACTCACACAGATAGAATCCTGTAGAATAAAGAGCTAAGATGCTAATTAGACCGAACGACCTTCCAGGCGACCTTCCGGATGACCTTCCAGACGAAGCCGGGGCTGCGAGGGCCAAGCCCCTTGCACGAATTTCGTGCACCGGGCTTCTAGTATCCACATACCAGGGACGGAGGTGAAAGGGCTAGTGAATGACCAGACCCGCCGACTGGAGAAGGAATGAGATGAGACCCGCTGTGAAGACCAGGCCAAGCTGCTACTAAACGCACCCCCGCCAGGGAGCGCCGCTGTTTGCCCAGCCTGTGCCCAGATCCGGAGAAGAGAGACAGCGGTCGGGGCGTAGGAGCTCCATGCCGTGTATCGGAGGCTTTTAAGGGCCATCACATTGATCGAAAGGAGGGTTTCGAACGGCAGGAACGACAGGTGCATAACCAGGAAGGGCCGGCCCTTGAAAACGGGCTCGTTCGTGACTGCCTCTTCGTCGTCAGGAGTCACGCTCGGCAGACCCCATGGAAAGAGATGGAAGAATCGAGTCCGAGCCTGCTAAACGAATGGGAACTCATGAATGAATGATCATCTGCACTCGCTTTCTTTTTAAAATAAAAATAAAATATTTTTTTATTGATTTCAGAGAGGAAGGGAGAGGGGGAAAGAGGGAGAGAGAGAGAGAAACATCCGTGAGGAGAGAGAAGCATCGATCGGCTGCCTCCTGCACGCCCGACTGGGGATGGAGCCTGCAACCCGGGCATGTGCCCTAATCGGGAATCGAACCCTGACCCCCTGGTTCCTAGGTGGATGCTCAACCGCTGAGCCACACAGGCCGGCTGGGCGGGATTCACTTCTTATTCCCAAGGCTACGAGCGAGGTTGGCTCAGGTCTCCGTGTTTTGCAGGAGTTCATCTGCGTTAAGTGCATCCCGCGTTGTGCCCTTGACGTTGCCACCTTCTCATGAAACGCCTCGTCTTTCTTTGCAGCCAGTGAACATTTAACTTTTCATAATGACGCAAACTGTGACCAAGACCGGTAACTGTGACAGAATCCTGAGGGCTCATAGAAATCGCATCACAGATCGTCACCGGACTCGGGATGTGCCTGGAGGCCCTCTACTCGAACCAGTTCTCCTTGAGCAAAAACCCAACGGCGTCCCGGAAGCCGCGGCGGTACAGGGATTCCATTTCCCGCTGGCCGGGAGGGAACAGGGCATGGTTGAGCCGCACCAAATTGGCCACGGACACCTAGGACAGAGAGACAGGGTGGGGCTGTAGGGCAGGGCCGTGAGGGTCGGCGTGCGTTACATCTGTAACCTGATGATTAGCGATCTACACTAACAAAAGAGAAACATGCAAATTGGTGTCACTCCGCGACACCCACCAGCCAATCAGAGCGAGTATGCAAATTAACCCAACAAAGATGGCGGTTAATTTGCATACATAGGCACAGAGCAAAGACTGAAGACGGCGTAGAAGGAAGCCAAGCGCTGAAGAAGGGAGCGGAGTGGCGGAGAAGGGAGCAAAGCCCGCCTCCCTTCTCTGCTTCGCTCCGGCCACAGGAAGCCCTATTCTTGCAGGAATCTTCCTGCAACGGGCCTCTAGTAATAAAAATAAAATAAAAAATAAAACGAGGAGGGCCCAGCCAGCGTGGCTCCATGGTTGGGTATGAACCTAGGAGCCAGGAGGTCATCACGGTTGGATTCCCGGTCAAGGGCACCTGTCTGGGATGCGGGCTGGATCCCCAGTAGGGGGCGTGCAGGAGGCAGCCATCAATAGTTCTGTCTTCTCATTGATGTTTCTCTCTCTCTCCCTCTCCCTTCCTCTCTGAGATCAATGAAAATATATTTTTAAAAAAATAAAGTAAAATAGGATATTGCCACCGAGAACACGCAGTTTGTACAGGAAACAATACGTGAGCTCACCATCTCGGAGCACAGGGAGGATTTTAGGGACGACGTTCGCCACTCACCAGGATGTCCTGGTTGGCGATGGTGACGTAGACGCCCAGCTGCCCCTTGTCCTGCGGGGAGATGTCCAGGCGGCCGCAGAAGGGGGAGATGGTCACGGTGCGGCCCACGGGCAGGATGGGGAGGCTGTTGGTGAACCCGCCGTCCACCCACGTCTGCGGAGGGAAACCCGTAGTCACACGTGGGCCTGACCCGGCTGCCAGGTGGAGGGCGTGTGTACGGAGACCTCGACGGTCCGTGCCTGGGATCTGCTTCTGAATCACTAGTGACCGGGGCCAGTCCCATAGAGGGTTTGCGTTGGGAGAAAAACTAATGTTTGTGCCCATAGCATACACCCCTGGGAACCAGGGAATCTGGCCAATGGTTTAGAAGTTAACTCGATTGGCCCTGGCCTGTTGAGCTCAGTGGGTAGAGCGTCGGTCTGCGGACTGAAGGGTCCCAGGTTCGATTCCCGGTCAAAGGCACACGCCCGGGTTGCGGGCGCGATCCCCAGTAGGGGGCGTGCAGGAGGCAGCCGGTCCATGATTCTCTCTCGTCATGGATGTTTCTATCTCTCTCTCCCCTCTCTCTCTTCCTGTCTGAGATCTAGCCTATATAATAAAAGCCTAATATGCAAATCGACCGAACGGCGGAACGACCGGCCACTATGACACCCACTGACCACCAGGGGGCAGATGCTCTGAGTTGCCCCAGCCCTCAGGCCCCAGGCCAGCCAAAGCGGGTGCCAGCGGGGGGCCCCCCATTTGCCCCCCAGATCAGCCCTGATCGCCAGCCAGGCCTATGGACCCTACGGGTGCACGAATTTCGTGCACTGGTCCTCTGATTCTATCACTGGAAAGCAACATTTTGTTTCTTTTTAAAATATATTTATTTTAACCTTGCTTTGGGGGGATTTACCCCATTTCATTTTGGTATACCTTTATTTTTTAACACAGATGCATGCTCTTTTTAACCTCTAGTCTGCGAAGTTGTTTGTTGTTTTTTTTTAACAGAGGACAAAATCTTGTTGGCAACCTAAAACTGAAAGCTCGACAAGCAGCCAAGGTAAGTTTCTGATGAAAAAGTTTAAAAATAAAAATTAATCGCGACTGCTTGCCAAGTCACTGTTTTTGCTAAGTCCTGTGTAAAAGAAATATTAGCTGTCCTTGTATACATAAAGTTTTTCTGTAACACAATTATTGATTTTTCAGAAGCTGTCCCTATGAAATTTTTCTTTTCGCATATTTCCATACAGTGCCCCAAACAAAAATTATTGAAATGTTCAATCTGTGGAATTCCATATGCCCGGTAAAATATTTTTGTATGTAAAAATAAATATTTAATATTGGGGAAAAAATTTTTGTTTGTTGATTTCAGAGAGGAAGGGAGAGAGAGAGAAACATCCATGACGAGAGAGAATCATGGATCGGCTACCTCCTGCACGCCCCCTACTGGGGATCGAGCCCACAACCCAGGCATGTGCCCTTGACCGGGAATCAAACCGTGACCTCCTGGTTCCTAGGTGGAGGCTCAACCACTGAGCCACGCCGGCCGGGCTGGAGACCAGAATTTTCTGTCTGGAACTTAAGCAGAACCATGAGGGCCCAGTGGGCTGATTCAGAACCACCAGGAAGCGTAATTATAACACTGGGTTCTTCGAAGGGGACTTATCTGCATGGGATCCCTGATCATGGGTCAGGGATCAGAGCGTACCTGTCCTTTGTACTCCACCGGCTTCAGGCCGGCGTAGAGGGGCAGGAAGCTGCTGGCCAGGAGGACCTGAGGGAGGAAATGGAAAAATGGCTCAGGCATGGAGAGGCGCTCACACTCAGACCGGAGACTGGGTATGTGATTTTCTATAAAATTCTACGTCGTTAAGGAAAAAATTTAAATTGCTGTAAGAAAGAAAACATTATGTCCATTATAAGTGCACAATGCACGCGCTTAAGTAGAAGAAAACATAGTCAACTAGAGGCCAAGTGCACGAAATTCGTGCACTTGGGGGGGGGTGTCCCTCAGCTCGGATTGCGAGAGGGCGCAGGCCAGGCCGAGGGACCCCACCGGTGCACAATCGGGAGGGACCATGGAAGGGCTCCAGGGCGTGTCTGACCCGTCTCGTTCAGTCCCGATCGGCCAGACCCCAGCAGCAAGCTAACCTACCAGTCAGAGCGTCTGCCCCCTGGTGGTCAGTGCACGTCATGGCAAGCGGTTGAGCAGCCTTAGCATATCATTAGCATATGACGCTTTGATTGGTTGAACGGACGACAGGACGACCGGACACTTAGCATATTAGGCTTTTATTCTATAGGATATCAGAAAGGACCCTAGAGAGATATGTCTGGCTGAGCAATGGATGGCCTCTCCCTTCCTCTCTCTGAAATTCAATATATTTTTTTTAAAAAGAAGAAGATGCCATAACTGGTTTCGCTCAGTGGATAGAGCCTCGGCCTGCGGACTGAAGGGTCCCGGGTTCGATTCCCGGTCAAGGGCACATGCCCGGGTTGCGGGCTCGATCCCCAGTTGGGGGTGTGCAGGAGGCAGCCCATCCATGGTTCTCTCACATCATGGATGTTTCTCTCTCTCTCTCCCTCTCCCTTCCTCTCACTCTGAAACAAAGAAATAAAAATAAATAGTACAGGTACAACGTCTTACCTAAACTGCCAAGTGTCAGCTACGTTCATGTAAGGAGCTGTTGTTGCTACTCAACGGCACCGGAGACCTGCTTCTAGAATAAACTCAAGGGTGTTGGACGCGGCGAGGCTCACGTGGGACTGATGCGTTCATGGGTCCCGCGGCTGACCGAGCCGGACCATCCCAGCCAGGACAGGAAGCCACGGGTGTGAAGGGCACAGGCTACCGACTTCCTCCCCCAGGAATGCGTTACCTGGATGAGGTCCTCCCTGGAGGAGAAGCTGGAAACCAGGGAGTTCTTCCCCGTCCGGGTGCTGGTGATGGAGACGTGCAGGCGGCTGTGGGCCAGCTGGTGGGCGTTGGGGGGCAGGATCGAGTCCATTCCGCGTCTGGGGGAGAGAACGTGGCCACGTCACTCCCCTCTCATCGCTGTTATTATTTATTTTTTAAATATGTATATATTTTTTAATTTTATTTTTTATGATGTTACAGGCAACAATCATTAATATTTGCAGAAAAACGATTTTAAGTATAATAATGCTACATGCAATTAATATTTCAAGACAAATGATTTTAAGTATAATAATGTTACATGTAGTATTCATTGATATTCCAAGAAAAACGATTTTAAGTATAATAATGTTACATGCAATAATAATCATTAATATTTCAAGAAAAACTATTTTAAGTATAATGTGTTACATGCAATAAACATTAATATTTCACACAAGACTTTAAATATAATATTACCAAAACTGTACTAACATAGTATAATATCACAAAAGTGTATTTCCTACAACTTTTGTGATATTAAACATATTTTTATGGATTTCAGAGAGGAAGGCAGAGGGGGAGAGAGAGAGAGAAACATCCATGATGAGAGAGAATCATAGATTGGCTGCCTCCTGCACGCCCCCTACTGGGGATCGAGCACACAACCCGGGCATGTGCCCTGATGGAGAATGAACCCTGACCTCCTGGTTCATAGGTCGATGTTCAACCACTGAGCCACGCCGTCCGGGTATTATTATTATACTAGAGGCCCCGGTGCATGAATTCATGCACCAGTGGGGTCCCTCGGCCTGGCCCACGGGATCGGGCTGAAACCGGCTCTCCGACATCCCCCGAGGGTCCCGGATTGCGAGAGGGTGCAGGCCAGGCCGAGGGACCCCACTGGTGCACGATCGGGGCTGGGGAGGGATGCGGGAGGTTGGCCAGCCGGGGAGGGACCGCGGGAGGGCTCCAGGGCATGTCCAGCCCATCTTGCTCAGTCCCCATCAGCCGGACCAAAGCAGCAAGCTAACCTACTCGTCGGAGCGTCTGCCCCCTGGTGGTCAGTGCACGTTATAGCGACTGGTCGACCGGTCGACTGTCTGCCCCCTGGTGGTCAGTGCACATCATAGCGAGAGGTTGAGCGGCCTTCGCATATCATTAGCATATGATGCTTTGATTGGTTGAATGGACAACCGGACGACCAGACACTTAGCATATTAGGCTTTTATTATATAGGATGTTTTTGTCATTAATGCTCAACTGAGGATATTTTTTCTATTGATATTTAGACTGGAAGGGGAGGGAGAGAGAGAGAAACATCAATGTGAGAGAGACACATTGATTGGTTGCCTCCCGCATGCACCCCGACCCAGACTGGGGATGCAACTTGAAGCAAGAAACGTGCCTTGGACCGGAATCGAACCCGAACCCTTTGGCTGCAGGCCGACACTCCAGGCACGGAGCCAGGCCTTTCATTCCTGACCACGAGTCCTCACGCCGTGGTGGGGAGTGCATTTGGGGACCCACACACCCCCGTACCTCAGTCGGGCCATGAAATCGTAGCCCGGGGTCACGGCCCCGAACAACTGCCTTCGTGTCTCCTCAGCGAACTCGTAGGTGAACTGGTTGCATTCCTGAAACAGGACGTGAACGGGCGACTCGACATTGCGTCGAAAGGTCCGTTCTGATTCCAGCGCTCTGTCCCTCGCCCACCGTTCCTGGTCCCCAAGCAGGCCACCTGTTGTCCCCAATCCTGCTGTGTTTTCTTTTTAAATATTTGTATTGATTTCAGAGAGGAAGGGAGAGAAATAGAAACATCAATGATGAGAGAGGATAATGGATCGGCCGCCTCCCGCACGCCCCCCACTGGGGATCCATCCCGCAACCCGGGCATGTGCCCTGACCTCCTGGTTCCTAGGAGGACGCTCAACCACTAACATGGATGTGAGAGAGACACATGGATGGGTTGCCTCTTGCGTGCACCCCGTCCGGAGATGGAGCCTGCAACCCAGGTACATGCCCTTGACCAGAATCGAACCCAGGACCCTTCCGTCCACAGGCCGACACGCTGGCCACTGAGCTAAACTGGCCAGGGCAGCAGCGCCGATTGCCAGCGACCACACGGATAGCAGAGGGAGGAGCCCTGAGGGCTGTCCTTTGCCAGCGCTGGTCAGAGTTGTGGGAGGGCGGTCCTGGCCCTGGCTTTTTGTGGGTCCTGGGAACCCGCCTCCGTGAGCTCATCTTCACAAACCCTTCGTGGTGGGTTATATGCGTAACCTCCCAGTTGGCAGGTAAGAAAACAGGTTGAAGAGATTAAGGGTCTTCCCTGATTTGCTGTGAACAGTGAGGGCCATGGGCAGGGTTGGGATCCAGGCCTGTCTTCCATTCATTCTTTCATTCATTCACTCATTTATTCATTCATTCACAGTATGGTGAAAAAATAAGTTGAAGAGATTCAGGATCTTCCCTGATTTGCCATGAACAGTGAGGGCCATGGGCAGTATTGGAACCCAGACCTGTCTTCCATTCTTTCTTTCATTCATTCATTCATTAATTCGTTCGTTCATTCATTCATTCTTTCTTTCATTGACTCATTCGTTCGTTTGTTCATTCATTCACAGTATGGTAAGAAAACAGGTTGAAGAGATTAAGGGTCTTCCCTGATTTGCCGTGAACAGTGAGGGCCATGGGCAGGGTTGGAATCCAGGCCTGTCTTCCATTCATTCATTCATTCATTCTTTCTTTCATTCATTCATTAGTTCGTTCATTCATTCACAGTACGGTGAGAGCGCCTAGGAGGGAGACAGAATCAAGCCACCCTGCCCCTCATCATGTCCCACATCGGAAAACACATATATAATTACATATTGTTTTTGTGATTAACCACTGTGCTTCAATTATGTTCAATCTGTAACAATGAAAATACATCCTGCATATCAGATGTTTACGTGACGATTCATAACAGCAGCAACATTACAGTGATGAAGTAGCCACGAAAATAATTTTATGGTTGGGGGTCACCACAACATGAGGAACTGTATGAAAGGGTCGCGGCATTAGGAAGGTTGAGAACCACTAGATGAGACAATCGTATGCTTTACGAAGGGACGCTCGCGATATTTCCAGCACCCGCCCGAAATACACCAGGAGGTCAGGGTTCGAGTCCCGCTCAGGGCACATGCCTGGGTTGCGGGCTCGATCCCCAGTGTGGGGCGTGCAGGAGGCAGCTAATCCATGATTCTCTCTCATCATTGACCTGTCTCTCTCTCTCTCTCTTCCTCTCTCACTCTCTCTCTCTCTCTCCCTCTCTGAAATCAATACAAATATTCTTTTTAAAAAAGAGGGTACAATAAGGCATCATCTTTTCTGTCTCACTGTCACCCAGAACAGTCCCCTCTCCCAAATCCGGAGCCCAGATCCCTGATGATTAAATGTTAAAGCTTTTCTGTTTCCCAGGCAAAGCATGCAGCTAGCTGAGCGTGAGCATCCGGCGTTGTTGCTGGATCTTGATTTCTGGCTGAGGAACGGGGCCGAGGGGCCACCCCATTACCTCTATTTTCTCCGGTGCTGTGAGCAGGACCGAAGCCACCAAGGACCCGGCGGAAGCCCCCGCAAAGGCCTTGACGTCCTTCAGCAGCTTCTGGCCGTGTTTGCAGAAGGCCGAGGCCGCCCCCAAGTGGTAAATGCCCAGGAATCCGCAGGCAGCGAAGGACAGGTTGATGTGCTTCATTCCACCTGCGAAGTTGGCCACACACATACACACACCAGGAAAAAAAAGAAAAAAAAATACAGATAAATGCTCTAAGTCGGTATAATAAGCTAATCATGACTCTAAGCCTTTCTTTTCGTAGACAATTCTTTGTGCTGAGCTCCAATCTGCACAATTAAAGGCTCATCAAACACCCAAATCCTTCAAGGATACGTTTTCCCTACCCCTCCCACCTTGACCCCCAAGTTTTATTCATGAAAAAATGAGGTTACAGCAGTCCATATCTGTTCAGGGGGTTGCATAATATGCGATTCATTCATTAGATCGCACAGCCTCCTACTCCATTTCTTGGCAAGAGACAGATGGATCCAGTGCCAACTGGCAGGCCACCTGGTCTTTTTTCTTGACCTTTTTGTAACTTGGGGGTGGGGGGGGAGTGCTGTATTGGAGAGACCTCCAATCATTGGACCAGGGCACATCCCAAAGGATGCACACATTTGCATGTTGCAAATGCATCCGTCAATTGCAAATGCATCCATCAATTGCAAATGCATCCATTAATTGCAAATGCATCCCTCAGTTGCAAAGACAGATCCCTGCTCCCTCCCCTCCCATCTCCATTCGGGGCATCCACGTTTTCTTAAAACAAACAAACAAAACAAAACGGATGCCCTAACTAAACGGCTCCTTTTGCTCGAGCCTCGGAGGGCAGATGTGTGTCCCCCCCCCCCCTCCCCAGCCCCGTGGCTGAAATCCTGCCCCCAGCTTGTTGCTCACTAGGACCCCCACTTGGGGCTCCGGGACCCCAATTCCGGGGGCATCAGAATAGGCGCAAGGCCCGGGCCCCACAATTCAGGAACCTACAACCTTTGTTCTGCAGCATCTGGCTGGGCCCCGTGAGGGAGGCAGCGCGGCCATTGCAGCCGAGCCTCAGCTTTGCTTTAATGACTGCAGATGGGAGGGGGCGAGGGATGGGGGCTCAGTGGCCAGGCGGCCGCCGCGGACTGCGCATGCCCAGTGTGCACCCGCGGCCTGGAGGAGAAAGAACCCAGGCGGACGCCCCGGACCGCGCATGCCCACTGTGCACCCGCGGCCTGGAGGAGGCACTACCCAGGTGGCCGCCATGCCAGGCCCAGGGCCACAAAACCGGCCCACAAGGCGCCCTAGCAAAGTCTGGGGGCCGAAGCCCGCCCCCAACCCGCTCCGCCCTCACCCCGCTCCGCCCTACCAAAGCAGGCGGGAGGCACTTCCGTGTTGAACGCCCCACCTCCCCGCCTCAACCGGAAGGAGGGGCCCGGCCGTCACTCAATGCGGCTCCGCCTACCCACGCAGGCCTGCGGCACTTCCGTGTTGGGCGGTCCCTCCCCTCCACCCGTTAACCGGAAGGCGGGGCTGAGCCGTCACTCAATGCCGCCCCGCCCTACCCAAGCAGGCTTGAGGCACGTCCATGTTGAACGCCCCACCTCCCCGCTTAACCGGAAGGATGAGCCGGGCCGTCACTCAATG